TATGGGCGAGTAAGACGTATGATTTTTATATTAAGAATAATAAATTTCATCTACAGTCAAACTCCGCTATAGTGAACATGGTTTATAGTGAACGAAATATTCGCTCCCGTGCTTTGCTGTACACATGTCAAACCCCGCTATAGTGAACTACCGGATATAGTTTATACCAGGATAAGCATTTTTTCTTGTTTGCTTCTTTTGTCTCACTTTCCCATCCCTAAACAAACCAAACAGATGTTTCCAATCCAGGCAGATGATGCACCTGCAAGGTGTCAGTGGGATCAATATGCATTTTCTGTCTGAGGGAATGAGTAATTATTCATTATTGGTCAAAGGGTAGGACACTAATATGTGTTGATAAGGACCTCATTTCAACTCCTTTTTGTTCTCAGTTTAGTTTTAAAAAAAAGCCGGCAAGCAAGTGTCTCAAATTTAACTATGGCGAGCAGTAAACGTTCTCCATTGATGATAAAATGGGCATGATCAGAAAAATTGAAAATGGATGTAATCCAGCTGATATTTGCAGGGAATAAAAACTATCCAAATCTGCAGTTTGTAACATATGGAAAAATAGGTAATTAATAATTTCTGCTCATGAAAAAAATTTCGATGGCAGAAAAAGAGTTGAGAAAAGCAGATCACAAGGATGTTTAAGAAGCATTACTGAAGTGGTTAGCATTTGAAATAGCCGCAATCTTCTAGTATCTGAACAAATGTTGATGAATTTGGAAAACGATTTTATGAGACTACTTTCATGTGCTCGAATGGCAGGTTAGACTGGTTTAAAAAGCGGAAAAACAGAAATACAGGAAAAATTGTCTGAGAGGCGGGAAGTGTTTCCGGAAAGTGTATCTGATGTTGAGGATTGCTCATCAGCTAAAGATAACAAATTTTTTTTTTTTGTGTGTACAGGACAAAGAGNTTACTTTTTTTTTTTTTGTACGCAAGACGAGTAATTAAAAAAAAAACATTTTTGCTATTACATGATATTTTCCAGTCATTTATTTGAATAATGTTTAATAAAGGGGAAGAGTTTGGGAACCATTCGTTAAATTGCCTGAGTAATGGATGTAGTGAACTCCCGGTTATAGTGAACCGAAATTTCGTTCCCTTGAAGGTTCACTATAGCGGGGTTTGACTTTATTATTTTTTGTGGATATAGTGATGGAAAAGAAGAGAGGAAATTGGTTATTATGCTTTTATCTGTCTTTGACTGATTTTTTTCTTCATTCTTTGGTAGTTATGAAATTTCTACATAAAATACATATACCGATTTTTAAAACCATTTATTGAGTGGAATGTAGCCCTAAGCATTTTTTCTTGTTTGCTTCTTTTGTCTCAGTTTCCCATCTCTAAATTTCTTGTTACTACAGATTGTTTTTTAATCATTTGTGTATTTCTTTTTATTGCTCATTTATTTAAATAATGTGTAATAAAAGGGAGTAGTTCGGAAAAGTTAGATAAAATTGTTTGCAGTACGGATATCAGGGGTCTGTTTAGAAGAAATTTGGGCCCGTTAACGGATCCTTCACGGAATATCTTTTCATTAAAACGGACCATTCACAAAATATTTTATCTTAAAAACGGAACCTTCACAAAATAATTTATCTTTTAATCGGACCCTTCAGAAATTTGTTTATCTTCATTATTGTTTTGTTAATCGAATAAACACTTCCCAGGGGAGTGGAGGGGGGAAAGAAAGACAGATGTAAAGAACTAAGTTTGGTCTTCGGCAGACGCTTCTTCCTTTATTCAACAGTATAGGCTAAACAGCAAATATTTGTATGTTGCATCTCTAATTTAGTAACAGCAATTGCTGTTTATCTTCTAAAATTTAATTTTTTTATTATAATTTTACGGTGTTGAGCATAATCTTGTATGTCTTTAGAATTTAAGAACTGCTTGAAAAGTTTTTTGCAATAACATGACCCTATTTGCACAAATTCACAAGCAGGACTCTGGTTGAAAGAATGTGACTTAACGCTTATTTTATATTCACAAAGTACGAATAATTTTTTCACAATTTTGCAAAAATGGACCTTTCACAAAATGTCTGGACAGACCCCTGGATATAGTGAACTCTCGGTTATAGTGTACCGAAATTTTGGGCCCTTGAAGGTTCACTATAATGGGGTTTGAATGTAATTTACTTTAGTTATGATATCTGAAATAGATTAATCTGATTTATAAGTGGTTGACAATTACTTTTCTGTATTTTAGATGTGGCTTGCGAGGAGGTTATTGTGAATTAGCTAATGTTGATATGGGTGTAAAGAAAATGTTACTAAAATGTGTGTCTTCGCGTTACTGTTCTACTGTTTTGGGTCAGGTATAAATTTATTTCTAAGCTTTTTCTTTTGTAAAAAATGGAATTAATTTAATAAAAAATTGACAAGAGAAATCCTTTATATGATTTAATTAGAATCGCAAATAATACATTTATCAAAACCAAGAAAGTTTGTGCCCAAACATGATCTACCTTCTTCAGCTGGATAAAATGGCAAGGATGACAAAACCAAGACAGGTAGAAAAATGGAACAGATAAAAACTTTGAAAATTGACTATTGAAAAGAGTTAACAATTAAAAATAAGTATTATAAATTTTTATTCCAATTAAAAATAAATTGATAGTTAAAGATATTTCTTCCAAATATCTGATAAATATGAAGTTACAGGATGCATATAGTATAAATTTTTTGTTTTTTACATCACGAAGAGTCTTTCAGATAATTAGGTCACAAATCTTTTTAAATAATATTGAATGACGAAAAATGGAATCTGAAACTTTTAGTTCATCAATTTTGTGCGATAGAGTAGTATTGGAGTCCATTCCTGGCATGGTTTTGATGTTTTATCAAATTAAATTTAAGTACATTTCTCGTTCGTTAAATGTATGGAAGTTCACATTTGCATTAAATTTTATGTATTCTAAGAATTATTATTAATTGGAATTAATAATATTAGTAATTGATTATAAAAATGGCTTTATCTTTTTTAGATAACAATGGATTGTGTTGTCAAGCTACCTCAAAAGGGTGATCCATCTTATGATCTTTTTATTAAGGTAACCTATTTATTTGGATCATTTTATTTTTAATAAGATTAATATTTCTTTACTACATGCAAATAATAAAACAAAATATTGTTTGAGTCGTGTAATGCTATGTTGAATGGCTTTGAAGGTCATATTAATGTTCTAGTTCTGTTTAATTTTGTGAACTTTTTTGTATTTTGATCAAAGATGCTTTATATTAAGTGATACAAAATGAATTAAGTTTCCTTTTTCATGAAACAGCGTGTTAGGAGAATAAATTTTTTAGATCTAATTAAATGCAACATAAATGGTAGATTTTGATGCATATTTTTATGTTGCAGTAATATATTGTAGATATTTCAAAGCTTTGAATTTGAAAGCGGGTATAGTAATTGAATAATTTATTTTTTATCAACCCTTTTGGGACGCGTGAGTCATATATATGCGTTCCTACAGAAGGCATATATATGACTCACCTGTTAAAATATTGCTGTACAGACAAGTGAGGTATTGTTTCTGATATATAATTTTACATTGAGTTTAAGGATATCAAACTCAAGTTGATAGGAATAATATTTTAAAAGTTATAGAAGTTTTTGTCTCAAAAGTTTAATAATTTTGTATCAAATCTATCTACACACATCAATTTCTTATACAGATAAATGACGCTCTGTTTCTTGTATATTTTTAATACTAAATCGAGTTAATAAAAATTAATAGTTTTAAGTTATAATTGTTTTAGACTGGTATTTATCAAAAATTATAATTATATATTTCTTTAAACAAAAATTAT